TTACAGAGCTCCAGCTTCAAAAAGCTTCATTTACAAAAGCTCTAGCTTCAAAAGCTTCATTTACAGAGCTCTATCTTCAAAGCTTCACTTGCAAAGCTTCACCTACAAAGCTTCAGTGCAGGGTATACAAATACCGCCTCCGAACAACCGCCACTTCGGCCCATACATGGATTCAATTTGAAGTCTCCAGCCAACAGACTTTATTGATCGAAGACTTGGGGGACTACATTAGGTACCATATATTGGGCCTCAATTGGGCCTCATGAAAAATACTTGGGGGACTTTAGCCCATCATTTATGTATTGAGGAGCGGGCCCTTATTCTATAAAAGGGACTCCTTCACCATCATTAGAGAGCATCAACAATAGCCCATTATTCATGTATTGAAGAGCGAGCCCTTATTCTATAAAAGGGACTCCCTTACCATCATTAGAAAGCATCAACTATAGCCCATTATTCATGTATTGAGAAGTGAGCCCTTATTCTATAAAAGGGACTCCATCACCATCATTAGAGAACATCGCCGCCTACTGAGCAACCTCCTCACTACGAGCATCAACTCTAGCCCATCATTTATGTATTGAGGAGCGAGCCCTTATTCTATAAAAGGGACTCCCTCACTTCCAACGCCATAAGCCGAGCCAACCAAGGCAACATAAGCCACAAGCAGAGCAGCCTCGCAACATATGCTACTTCTGGTTGAGCATCATTTCGGATTGAGCACCACCTCATACTGAGTATCAGTCCTAAACAACATCTAGTTACTTCGGCCCACACATGGACTGAATTTCAAGTCTCCAACCAAAAGACTCTCTTGACTGAAGACTTGGGGGACTATTGTTTATACCATACTTAGGGCCTCCATATTTAGATCTCGTACAAATACTCGGGGGACTTAAATGTAATTATGTAATAAAGGAATAGGCAAATATGTAATAAGTGAGGAGCCCTTATTCTATAAAAGGACTCATCACCCTCACAATTAGAGGAGGCCAACTCTTAGGCCTGAAGCCCCATCACCCTCTCACATCTCCTATCACATTACAGAGGTTCTCTCCCTCACAATCCTCTCAGAGAAATACAATAATCAGTGTGGATGTAGCACAAACCTTGAGGTGAACCACGATACATCTTGTGTTATTTACTTTCTTGCAGATTCACGGTCGGATTTACGTTGTTCCAAGACCCTCCGGTTTTGTGCATCAACTAGGGTAAGGAGTTTTAGTCTGAACATCTCTGATTCGGCTAGGGGTAGGTTGTAACAACCCGTCCCGGTATTTATGGAGTGTTTTTGTATTTTCATTAAGTTTGGGGATATTTTTCCTTTTAAAATAATTTTTGGGACTTAAATGGTGTGGCCAAAGGGCCCACCCCCTGTTTTGTCATCTGGTTCCCTTTCCCTTTCTTTTATTTTTTTCTTCTTTCTTCTGAAAAGTCTTCCTCTTTCTCTCTTCTCCCTCACTCTCCCTTATCACTCCCTCTCAGCTTTCTCTATCTCAGCCCCTCCGAGGGTTTTTCTTACCAACAATCAACACCACAACAACATCAACATCTCCATTAGCACCCTAGTGAGCTTAGAATCGAAGAAAGAACACCTTAAACCCTCATTTTCTATTCAGCCGGTACTGTTTATCATCTTTCCCGATGAGTTTCATGGTCTTTCCAATGTTGGTAAGCTTCTAAAAACCTTTGGGGATATGTTTTAGGGTTAGATCGAAGCTTTTTTTAAGTTATGTATACGTTTGAATAGCAGAAAATAGCTTGGAGTAGCTTTTCCAAAATTTACTGCGAGTACCGCCCCTTTCGAGGAGATTTCTGACCAAACCATGGTGATTTGGCCTGCGTGCAAGATATCAATCTCTTCGTCTCACTAAGTACTACAACTTTCCTTTTTGTTTCACCCAATTTCGTTGAGTAGCGAAGAAGTTATGGGCATTTGAAGTTTGCCCAACAAGCCAAAACCTTGGCTTGGAAATGGGTCAACCCGACCCATTAACCCAAGGTCCAACCCATTTACCCAAGCCCAAGTCTGAAACTCAAACCCAGGCCTTTGGGCCGGATCACTTAAGCCCAAAACCCTTTTTATTTTATTTTGTTTCTATTTATTTTATTTCAAACCCAAAACTACTGGCCGGGCTTAAAGCCTAAAACTTTTAAACCCTTGGACCCAAACCCTTTAGGCCCAGCCCAGTCCAACCCAATACCATTGACCCAGATCCGTTGATTTTGACCCCGTCTGACCGTTAACTCAGTCAACGGTCAGTGTTGACTTTGACTTTGACAGTCAACGATCAACTTTGACTTCCCGGGTTGACTTTTTCAAGTTTCGGCCGAGACCCTTCCTAGGCTAATTTCAACGTCCTGGACCTGTTTTTGAAGTCTGTTTTCTCAAATAAAATCTTTTGAGTAGAGTTTGACTAAATGTACCATTTATAGGCTTAGGGGCAATTATAGTAGCGTTTCTATCTTCGTTAGTTGCGTGGCTCTTCGGCGGCAAAGTACTATGAGTGGACCCCTTCTAAAAATGCATGTTTAATAGTAGAAATGCATACATGAAAAGCATGATTTGATGATTACGTTTTATGAAACGTTGTGTGAGATAACATGCTTACTGAGGCTATTTTGAATTATTACCATTTTTGCTCTAACCCGTGTTCTTATAGAATATCTGATGGATGACGATATAATATTTAGAACATGTTTCGAACACCTCTTTATAGTATAGATGATGGATGACTTTATACTATGAAGTTGCTTTTCAATATATGTATGTTCAATGGTTTTGTACTTACCTAGTGATCCTTATTCCGCTACGGGACGTATGAATAGATTCTGGTCCGTCCCAGGCAACGATTTGGTGTTGGCTAGGGCCTGGAGTGTGTTTCCTCTAGCTATTAGCACATGGACGGGGAGTTGGCATAGGGCTTAGAGTGTATTTTCCTCTGACTATTTGCTCAAAGACGAGGAGTTGACATGGGGCATGGGGGTTATTGGACATTCACTAGTGATTATTATATATACAAGTTATGATTTGAGACATTGCATGACATGCTAGGTTTCGGAAAACCTATGTTTATCATTATATATGTGTTTTCATAAAAACTAGAGGTTAGTACGTTGATAATTGTTTACTCTATATATATCAACTTGGTCCACTCATGTTGGTTTTGCGCCCCCTTTAAGACTTAGAATCAAGGCATACAATCCCGACGTCAAGGCACCTCCACATCGGCATCTTCGAGTCTTCTTGGTGTAGGATTCATCCTTTGTTTCATTAAATTTTATATTATTCTTTTAGTGTTCTAGATAGTTGTATACTCTGAACACGTTCCTTAAATGAACATTCTTTATTCTCTTATATTTATAAGTCTTATTTATCCCTTGTTTTCAGCTTTTGCACTCAATAAATGGCTTTCGTCACCCTCGGATGTCGGCCAGCACGTGCCTATCTTGGTATTCAGGGAATATTGGGATCGAAGCGTGTCATAGGTTCACTGCTATAAATAGAGGAAGAAGTGCATCATTCAAGGGCTCTCCAATTCAACACATAAATTGTCTTGTGCAAACTCTCGCTCTATGCGAAACCTCTCAACAACCTTGAGATTTTTTATTTTATTTTTCTGCCAACAAATCTTCAGTTTGAATAAACAGCACTATGAAGGCAACCAGTGACATCTTCAGTTTGGATAAACAGCACTGTTGTCGTAGAATTAGCAGACCGCGGAGCACCTTCCGTTTGGAGAAGCAGCACTACGTCGATGTCGACTGGTTACCTATCCAAGTCTCCGTCAAGAAGAATTTTCGAGTCCTTATTGGCAGAGATCATCTCATTAGTTTTCTCGACGAAGTAAGGTGTTACAGATTACTGGGCTTGACACATTAAACGCCGAGTTGTTTTATGAATGGATATTCACTAGTTAGTTTTAGAGTTCGGCATTCTGACGGTCGAACCAGATTCACCATTAAGGCATACATCTCTTTCGAGTACTTGTGTTCGTATAGTTTGGTGCCGGTTCGACGTGTTTATACTTTTACGAATATAATCACCGTGACCGAACCCGACGCTAACGATCTATGAACTTCGCAAGACTAGTAGCCTTGTCTTCAGGCTCTAGAACCCAAAGGCCGAGACGTGTTCCTTCCTCGGCCGTAGTCGCAAGATCAAGAAGCTCAACGCCACATCCACATATTTTAGTTGGCACGCCCCGCACATAACAGAAGGACGTAGTTAGCTTATTGATTACTCGGCTTGCGCACCACGTAGGCTTGATAGTTTTTAGGGTCAACAATACCAAAATGGTGTACCAAGAAACTATGCTCCCTTTCGTTAAAAAAAAAAGAAATCTCCACGAACTTTCTATTAGTTAGATCCGTTGATCTAAAGGTGAAGTGCGGAAAATAACATGATTCTCTTGAAATAAAAGAGGAAATCCCCATCTCAAGTAAGAAATACATTGAGCAAAAAAAGCATTAATGGGGGCATTGATTAACATGCAAGATTTTGTAAAGGAAAATAACAGCATTTATACCAAAAGGGTGTCCCAAGAAACTACGCTCCCTTGCTAAAGAAAAGAGAAATCTCCACGAACTTTCCATTAGTTAGATCCATTGATCTAAATGTGAAATTTGGCAAACAACATGATTCTCTTGAAATATAAGAGGAAATCCCCATCTCAAGTAAGATATATGTTGAGCCAAAAAAGGCATTAATGGGGGTATTGGTTAACATGCAAGATTTTATAAAGGAAAGTTCTATTCACACACTCATTTTTACTTCTAGCACACCCTTGTTAATTTTTTGCCAATGATCTCCTTCAATTTATATGATTAGATGACTGAAATTGAGAGGGGTGTAAGAAAAGTAAAAATAAGTGTGTGGATAACATTACGTAAATCTAAGAAAGCAAAACAAGTAGCGTTAAACTAGGACACGGTTTTTTTCTTTTTCCTTCAAAGCCATGATTGTGTGAGTAACAAAAAGATTGTGATTAATGATCCCTTTAATCAGAACCAGATTCCTTAATTCTCTCTTCGGAAACCAAACACAAGAGAAGCTACAGTGAACTTTCTTCCCTCTTTCCATGAAATTTCATGGAAATCAAGATTCAGATCAATCCTATATAAACAAGTAGTGTTACGTATACCTCCTCACTAGTGAAGCCATACTTTTTGTTTTGATATATTGTTCCTGCGTTGCTTGTTTCTTCTTAATTCTGTGTTCTTGATCAACTTAAATATTATTTTTCTTTTTGATTCTCATGTCACTGAGGTCTCGAAAACCTGCTGGAGAACCAGCCATCTCCGATCAAGAAGAGTTTCCAACCCTGAAACCTTACAAGCGGAGGTGGCGGTTAGCTCTCACAGCCATTTACTTCACCAGGGCTCTTACTTCACTTGCCAAGAAACTACAAACCGTTAACAATTCCCAGTTGCTGCACTCCCTCTCGTTTGTAACCATACACGTGCAACCCAAGAATCAAGACGATCGCAACAATGCACCTGACAAAAAACACCTTCCTTTTGTCAACATTGATCAGAAAACGCTTGCTGACATGGTGAAGGAAAAGAACCTTGAGCTTTTGAGTCAATTTGGAGGGGTTCGAGAATTGGCTGCAGTTCTTGAGACTGACATGAAGGGTGGTGTTAGCGGCGCTGAGCCTGATCTGATACACAGAAAGAATGTTTTTGGCACCAATGAGTACCAGAAGCCGCCTGTGAAAGGGTTGCTGAGTTTCGTGCTTGAAGCTTTCAAGGACCCCACAATTATAATACTTATGGTATGTGCAATACTTTCCCTAGGGTTTGGTATTAAACAGCATGGCTTGAAAGATGGGTGGTATGACGGTGGCAGCATCATCGTTGCTGTATTCTTGGTTGTTATTGTATCTGCACTTTCCAACTTTAAGCAGTCAAGACAATTTGAAAAGCTTTCTTCGAAGAGCGATGACATACGTGTGGAAGTTGTGAGGGATGGACTGCGCCGTCCTACATCAATCTTTGATGTTGTGGTTGGTGATCTTGTGTGTTTGAAGGTCGGTGATCAGGTTCCAGCAGACGGTTTGTTCTTAGAAGGGCATTCGTTGAAGGTGGATGAGTCTAGCATGACCGGAGAAAGCGACCACATTAAGATCAATGATAGAAGCAACCCTTTTCTTCTATCAGGTACAAAGGTGACAGATGGGTTTGGCTTGATGATTGTGACTTCTGTGGGCATGAACACACTGTGGGGAGAGATGATGAGCTCGATCAGCCGCGATTTGGATGAGCAAACACCTTTGCAAGTGCGCCTCAACAACCTGACTTCGTACATTGGGAAGGTTGGTTTGGCAGTGGCTCTCCTTGTTCTTGTGGTTTCTCTAATTCGTTATTTCACAGGAAACACCGTAGATGTCAGCGGAAATAGGGAATTTGGAGGCAGAAAGATGAAGTTTGATGATGTGATGAATGGTGTTGTGGGGATTGTAGCTGCAGCAATTACCATTGTCGTGGTGGCGATTCCTGAAGGCCTGCCTCTGGCTGTTACTTTGACCTTGGCTTATTCAATGAAGAAAATGATGAATGACAATGCTTTGGTTCGGAAGCTGTCCGCTTGCGAGACAATGGGATCGGCAACAACAATCTGCACAGACAAAACAGGTACTCTTACTTTAAATAAGATGAAGGTCACTGAGTTCTGGCTTGGTACACAAGTAATGACCGAAGAGAATATCACTGAGATAGCGCCTAAGGTCCTCCATTTACTCCAAGAGGGTGTTGGTTTAAACACAACCGGAAGTATTTGTCAACCAAATTCTTCATTCCCTGAGATTTCGGGTAGCCCTACTGAAAAAGCAATCCTTTCATGGTCCTTGTTTGATTTGGGTATGAACATTGATGAAGTGAAACAAGGCTGTGAGATAATTCATGTAGAAACCTTCAATTCGCAGAAAAAGAGAAGCGGTGTTTTGATTAGGAGGAACAACGAAAAGGGTACTCAGACGCATTGGAAAGGAGCTGCTGAGATGATACTCACAATGTGCGCAAATTATTATGATGAAACTGGGGCGCTAAGAGTGATGGATGACGAAGAAAGAAAGCGTGTTGGATCAACCATTCAGAACATGGCATCAAAAAGCCTCCGGTGCCTTGCCTTTGCGCATAGAATGCTTGAAGACGAGAATGATCAGGTTCCTGAGAAGCTTGAAGAGAGTGGAATGACACTTTTAGGTCTTGTGGGTATAAAGGATCCGTGCAGACCAGGAGTCAGAACAGCAGTAGACGGTTGCAGAGCTGCTGGAGTGAACGTTAAGATGATAACTGGCGACAATCTGCATACTGCAAGAGCTATAGCGTTTGAGTGTGGGATACTCAAAACACATGAAAATTTGGAGACTACTGAGTCTGTAGTAGAAGGGGTACAATTCAGAGGTTACTCACCTGAAGAGAGGATGGAAAGGATCGATAAGATACGTGTGATGGCAAGATCCTCACCATTTGACAAGCTTCTGATGGTGCAATGCTTGAAGCAGAAAGGCCATGTGGTTGCGGTCACAGGAGATGGCACGAATGATGCACCTGCGCTAAAAGAAGCAGACATTGGGCTTTCAATGGGAATCCAAGGCACCGAAGTTGCAAAGGAGAGCTCGGATATCGTCATCTTAGATGACAACTTCGCATCTGTTGTGACAGTTTTGAGATGGGGAAGGTGTGTGTACAACAACATTCAAAAGTTCCTCCAGTTCCAACTCACTGTCAACGTCGCTGCGCTTGTTATCAACTTTGTTTCTGCTGTTTCTTCTGGTAAGGTTCCACTGACTGCAGTGCAGCTGCTGTGGTTGAATCTCATCATGGACACCTTGGGGGCTTTAGCTTTGGCCACAGAAGAACCGACAAATCATCTCATGGAAAAGAAGCCCGTGGGACGAACGGAACCACTCATTACTAGAATCATGTGGAGAAACCTTATCGCTCAGGCCTTGTATCAAATCACAATCTTGCTAACCCTACAGTTTAAGGGAAGATCCATCTTTGGCGTGGACGAAAAGGTCAAGAACACCCTTATTTTCAACACATTTGTTTTCTGTCAAGTCTTCAACGAGTTCAATGCAAGAAAACTTGAAAAGAAGAACATATTCGAGGGGTTACTCAAGAGCAAGCTGTTTTTGGCAATAATCGGTATTACCATAGTTCTTCAACTGCTAATGGTGGAATTTCTGAAGAAGTTTGCCAGCACCGAGAGGCTGGACTGGGGGCAATGGGGTGCTTGCGTTGGAATTGCAGCATTGTCTTGGCCGATTGGCTGGCTTGTTAAGGGCATTCCAGTTTCTGGATGGCAGGTTCCAAGGCTAAGAGCACCTGCATTGTCAAACACATAGAAATATTAAGTACTCATATATACACCAGTAATCTTTTTCAGGTCTTTTACAGTTCAAGTTTTATGCTTGTAAATAGTTTTTTTTTAAAGATTTTCTCAATCTAGGGTTCGGAAATTTGATTACTATGGGGGTTTTCTCAAACAGCTTCAGATTTTTCTTTTCTTTCCTAAGGTTTCTGCACTTTAATCACATGCACAAAAACTAATGCCTTTTCTTCTGATTTAAATCGAGAATAAATATATCACTGTAGAAAAGGCCTACAGCTCAAGTCGTTTTTCAATCAAGCAATTTAATCATACCATATTAACTAAAACCCTAACCCTATAAATCACTCAGTTCAGATTGGCCCCTATAGGTGACATTGTTTTACAACTTCCAAGACAATGGTACAAAGGATTTTTTCACTGTTGCTACTGATTTCTCAAATTTTCCCAGTAATTAATTAACCAAACCAAACAGAAAAAAATAAAAAAATAAAAAATTGGTAAAGTTTGCACATGCTTCCAATGAATATAAACAATGAACCCTTCATTCACTGCGTTATGGAAGATTAAACAATGAACAATCAGTTGGTGATTATGATTAATTAGCTTCTTTCAGCTAGTTCAGATTAATTATAAATTCAGATTCTTTATTGGTTTTTCTGCTTCCCTAAAGATATATGCATAGTATTTAAGCTTCATAGTCACAAAATGCAAAATCGAAACTTTTAACAGAGAGAGAGAGAGAGTTGAGAGCGAACCTTGATTGCTTTCAGCTGCCAACGTAAATTGTTGTCTTCCCGCGACACCTAGGCCCTTGCTCCATGTGTTTTCACTGTTTTTTGTTGGAATTGTCATAAGCGGTTCAAATGTTTGGTTTTTGTGTTTTAGGGTGGGAGAGTTGGTGCAAAGTTGTTTCCCTGGAACCCTGACTTTCTGCGTGCGGTATGTAATCTTGGGTGTCTTTATCCGGGTGAATAATATTTCGTTGTGGTGATTATGAGTTCCCCGTCACTATGTAATCTTTGGGTTTGTCAGAGAATTTAGGTAGTAATTTTAGATTTAAAGAGATACTATAATAGATAAGAACTAAAATATTAGTGTAGAGAGAGATAATATAATATGAATTTAAATAAAATTTCAACATCTTTTATTTTTAATATACTTCAATGCATCACAGATTTTAAAGACTTTGTTGAGATAAACTCATGTGTCTTAAATTTCAGGTACGGGTCATGGGTTCACTCCAACAACACCGATACTGTCCCCACTTGGCCACCTGCTCAATCTATCAAGTGTAGGGTTTTAATACAAAAGGCTTCGGTGTTAGTTAGAGTGGGGTAATTCTATATAAATGGCTTGTTCTCAAGCCTTCTGACCGATGTGGGACAAAGGAATTCTAACACTCCCCCACACGTGAGACCCCATTTTATGGGTCACACGTGGAGTTCCACACATCGGCAACCACGTGGAGCCAAGCCGTGGCTCACCCGTTCGCGCTAGGCCAATGCACGTGGCATCTCTTGGCCTACGTGGAGCCAAGTCAGGGCTCACCCATTTGCGCGGGGCCAAAGGAGACCCACCCGTTCACGTGGATGTACGGACCCGTCCCCTGGCTCTGATACCATCTTAAATTTCAGGTACAGGGGCCATGGGCCCACTCCAACAACACTGATACTATCCCCACTTGGCCACCTGCTCAATCCATCAGGTGTGGGGTTTTAATACAAAAGGTCTTGGTGTTAGTTAGAGTGGGGTAATTCTATATAAATTGCTTGTTCTCAAGCCTTCTGACCGATGTGGGACAAAGGAATTCCAACAATGTGCTTTTCACCTATCAAGTCAAATCAAGTCTATATATTGTTTGCTCTTATGCACAACTGGATCGTTTGATATAACCAACTCAATTGTTCCACAAGTTCTTTATGATGAGATGTAATGAGATATATGGTGTTGGTGGCAGCCAAGGTTTAGAGTTACGGGTTATTTGGTTATTGTGGGTTGTATGGGTATGGTTATGAGTGTTGCTTTAAATGTTAGGAAACTAACGAAAAATGTTTGAAAACTTTGAGTTTTAATCAAAATGATAAAAATGTGTTATAAGTGAATAGTACCATGAGTGATTTTTTAGAGTAAAAATGTGGTTTTGGTTAAAGTAAACAGTACCGGAGTGTTTCGTTAAAAATCCTTCAAATGTTATGATGTGGGTAGCTCTCCGTTTTGGGTTTATTTCTTTAGTGTCTTTGATGTCATTAGACATCTTGTATGGATATAATTTTTCTAGTGCAATACTGTTAATTCTACGAAAATTATAATGTATTAAAAAACAAAATCATAGTTGTCGGGTTATCTCTTAAATTATTTTTTTATATATATAGAATTTAGGATTAAGTACCTTAAACCTCCCAATATTTTAGTATCATTCCAAATTAGTCTTAACATTTTTTAAACATTTCAAACAAGTGTCAATATATTGAAAATGTCACATCCATCAAGCCCCAATTAGTTTCAAACACATATTATATTCAAACCCCACCAACGGGGTATATCATGGTCAACATTAGTATTAACTGTCTCAAAATCTAAATTTCAAACATAGATTATACAATATGGAACGCAATGATCAAATGGGTACTAAATTGAATAAAAAATGGACCCAAATTGAAATTACATCAGATAGGGCTTATAGGAGCTTGTTTCTGATCATGTGTTTTCTTCATATGCTGATTTTGCGAATTGTAAAGCTTCAGGTTCGTTTATGTGGGCGGTAAAGATGGCGGTGTTGCATCATGGTAGTCCATACCATTTCAACAACCTCCATAACCTTCTTCTCGATGTTGGTGGCTTGAGTTGTAGTTGAAGTTAGTAGTTTTGCGTTAGGGTCTGGAGGTAATGGGATGATGGGGTGGTGGTGACGGTTAGTTGGTGAAGGTTATGCTTCCATGACCTTCCATTTATTTTGGAGACAAAGTAACCCCTAGTTAATTTAACTGACTTTAACTAGGCTTAACGGATGTGACATTTTCAAAAGGTTGGGTACTTGTTTGGAATGATTAAAAAGGTTGAGACCAATTTGGAATAACACTAAATGGTTGAGGGCTTTATGTCATTTAATCCTACAACTTAATTATAGTTTATTCAAAATATAAATTAAAAAAGATGGAGTGACACACCCCGACCGAAGTCGAGGCATGCTGGCCTACACCCAAAGGTGACGTAACCAAAAAGGAAAGTGAAGCATAAAAATATGGATAAATTTAAGCCAAAACTAACATTTATTTAATCTAAAGTAGAAAGTGCGCAGTAGTGGGACAAACACATAAAACACAAATATTGTTCAGAGTATAGATGACAGTACGACCTAAGTAGTGCAGTCGAAACTAGTTAAAGTAATTCATACACAACAAGGAAAAAGCCCATGCATTTATCTATGGTAATGTCAGAATACGCCAGAGATTCCTCGAATGCCACAGGGTATTCAGCTAATTAGGTCCTGAAGGGGCAAAAAACAGAAGGGTGAGTGGGCAAAAACAAATGTTTATAAAACACATTTATTTTTTTAACATACTAACCCATCGCCGTAAAACCTGTATAGTTTCTAGAAAATCATACTACATATAAGTATGAAATCAATTGCAAATCAACAACAAATCCATAAATACGCCAATCATAATATCTCAACAGTAGCATAAGTAAAATCAGGTGTTCATCAATCTATACTAACACACTAGCTCATGTAGATAAGTTATGCCATCAACAGGACTAAGTGTAATCATAATATACGTTCTAGTACTACAATCACGTGAAGACTGGCGCTAGGCTCATCACATACGAGTCAAAGTTGCATATTGCAACCTGTACGACCGTACTGGCACCTACAATGGGTCCAAGGTGAGTGTGCGGTGTGATGTGAACGTACACGTGAAGCCTGGCCCTGGTTAGGGCGAGTAATACACCTGAGCAAGCATGCATGATGAGCAAGTAATATGTATAAGAACATGCCATGACAATATATAAAAATCTCAACAATAATATGACATTTTTAAAATTAAATAAGAACATGGCATGATTGGCGTAAAATCAATCCAAAAGCACATGTGGAAACTATAAACTTTATATATAATATATAAAAATAAATGCCCACTCACTGATACATCGATGTATTGTAGCATCCTAGCCTTGTTTGTCCTCATACCTAGTCAGGGTAAGTCTCACCTATATGTGAAATAACTTTACTAATTAATTAATTAGGACATACACTAAAAGGCTAGGAAAATCTCCTATAATTTGCACAAACGGAGGGTTTAAATATACAAAAATATTCTACTCGACATCACGGACCTGTACACGTCAAGCACGTGGCACCCGGAGACAGGACGCACCCTCACATGCCGCCAAGTTGCAGCCACACGCGCCTGACACGCTGACAAATGACAGAGGAATATTCCATCAGATTTGACGGAATATATAGAATATTCTGTTAAATTTAACGGAATATTCTCCTTCTTCTCCGATTGTCCTCCACCGTCTACCTGCGCTAATGCCGCCATCTAATTCGCTAGAAATTGGAGAATTTTTACGGGATTCTGGAAAAAATTTAAAACTTCATATCTTCTTCATTTCTCACCCATTTTTGACGTACTTTATATGGAAATGAAGCTTATGAAGAGTAGAACAAGTCTATACCTTTTGGAAGTCCAAAAAGTAGAAAGAAGTGGACTGAAAAAGCTCAAAAGTCTCGGACCTATTTTCAACTCCTTGAAACTGCGTGTTTCAACGTTGGCTCCTCTCCCAACTTAGGTTAGTGGCCACGAGGAGTTGTGTAGTGGCTTCTAAGCTTCCCAAAAACTTGTAACTTGAACTAAAAATTGTCAAAGAATCCACACCCGAGTCGGAGCTCCAAGTTGCTCCTAGTTGGAGGTTCAAAACTTGATCATTTCATGATCGGTTCGTACCAATGGGTTCGTGGGGATGAGGAGAGTATAATGTGGTAGTTTAAAGGTCGATCTATGAAGTTTGATGGTGAGTCTTGGTTGTTGTAGAAGAAGGGAAACTCGGGTGAGGGAGAGAAGAAGAAGAGAAGGAGAGGGAGGGAGAGGTTCTGATTGGACATAAAGAAGAGAGAGGGTAGCTGTCTGATTGGGTGAGGGAAGTGAGGAGAGTGACTGATTGGTTGGTGAGGGAGAAAGGGCACGGGACAGGTTTTTAAAGAGAAAAATGATAAGGTTTTGTACAATTTGAAATCAGACGAAGTCTAACATGCCTTATAAAAAACAGTAGTTTCCTACACTGAATAATTAACACGCACGTGTACAAATCTACCCATTGTTAACTCACTTTAACTAAACGTAACTTTTTCATTACAAGTCTGATTCGGGGTCTAACTCGCGTTCACGCATTCATAACAATGGGTAATAATTAATTACGATATCGAGAAAATTAATTTAAAGCTGAATAACTATGTCGACATCACTTTGCCAACAAGGGCATAAACGTCATTTTACACACTCGGAGAGAAAATTATATGAAAAATTAGGGACGGGTCGTCACATAGAGTTATTAGGGTGTCTTTTTTATTTTATTGGGTAATATTCTTCCAGTCCGATCATTTTTGTAAGAATTAAAAGAGATTAATTTTCCTCACAACTAATATCTTTTATCATCAACTTTGATATATAAAGTTAAAAGTTGGCATTGCTTTCTTCTTTCAACATATTAAATCTTATTGAGTCATCTAACCATTTACACCAAAACCTCTTATCTCATGCACATCTTTTGAGCTTAAGCAACAAAACTATACTCGTTTATGGGTGGGTGACTTTCAAAGTAAGAGTATCACTTTAACGCTTGATGAGTGCTATATAATTGTGATGGTGGATATCCTCATAGAGAATCTCCCCAGCTCATGGTCATGTCTAATTATAGCATGTAACAAACTCTGGCAAGCAACCCACGCCAACCAGTTGTTCTTGTTGAGGCAAGCCTGCAAAGGTTTGTAAACAACAAATGGGTGACGTGACGGTGCACTCATTCTCCATAAAGCTTATATGGAGTGTAGCCATATGGGGCTTGCAAACAAAAATGAAGTGTTGAGTGAGCACACAACTAACAACCAAATTAAAAGTTACAGGTCCATCAATCAAACTTGGGTTCATGCACAGTTGCTAACATTTTGTAAATTCCACCTTCAGCGTATGTATAAATACACTATTGTAGTGGCGTGTGGTGTCGATAGCATAAAATACTTATAATTTTTACTCTCTATGACGTTTTTATGGGCACGGGATGACACAATAACACCTTATCTATGTCATGTATAAGTTGCTCGAAAGAGAAAATGTTATCTTGATGAAGAGGTTAGGTAGCTGCTTCTTATAAGATGCATGTTTGACATTCAATTTCATAGCGTAATGAGATTGATAACTATTGAAAATACTATATACGTCACACATCATACTTGCCTCTTGCCTTGCATAGCAGCTGTCTTCATTGAGAGAGAGAGAGAGAGAGAGAGAGAGAGAGAGAGAGAGGTGTTTCTCTTTCATGTAGCATACTGTTTATTTCTCGACCTTGAGGATGTAAAAGTTTGGTCCACAAATAATGTATTAAAAATTAGGAAATCCTCATCAAATGAAGAGATGTTTGCCCAATTTCGGTTACACATGATTTATGGGATAGAACAATAGGCATAACCACATATTTTGGGGCACTGCAGAAGTCTTACATATTTATTTCTCCATGGTAGATAAATTTATGCATCTATTTATCTACCTATATATATATATCTCTCTCTCAATGAAGACCAAAACCAAAAGAAATATGGGTTCTCTTGTCCTCTTTCAGATCTGAAATTATGTTTCATATCATGAAGCTTAATATATTTAGGGCTGTTAAGGGCCCTTGTCCATAGGACCATATCTATCAAATCTGCAACTACGTACATTACTGTTGTCATGTTACTTAATTACTATGTTTATATAAACCAGGCTAATTAATCTCGCGAGTTAACAATAGCTTGATTGCTTGACATTGAGAGATAGAAAGAGTTCAGTATCATATTGCATACACAGGGCATATTCTTGAGAAAAATAGTTAATTTTGCATACATAAGATTCTTGATCATATTAATTTGAGATGAACCACATATTTGACTAGAACAATGTGTTTTTCTCTCTGTATCCAAATTCGAATATATCTTCTTGAAGTTTAAATAAATTTAATTAGATTATAATATTTTTACCTTAAAAAATTAGATTAATAATATTTGTTTGTTACAAACAAAAAACACATTCAGTATGCACTATATGAACAGATCAGAACCGAATCTCATTAAGACAAATATATTGAAGAGGACCGAATCTCATTAAGATAATAAAAATAATAAAATTTATAGATTTCAAAGGAATCTTTTGATGTGAACGGATCAGAACACATGAGTACAAGGGAAAGCATACAGAAACATGAATTAGAGGACATACAATTAACTGTACATGAGTTGAAGGAATTTAGAAAGGGGAAAAAAAATACAGTACACTTTTCCCAGTGAACGAGGATGGATCTCAAAAGCACCAAACCGCTTGACACAGAGAAGAGAAATTCTGTCACTCCAACCCCAACCTCTCTCATTTGCTAATGAGATTCTCCACAAGCTACAGCTGGAAGCAGGTTTTCATACTTTATCAACAACATGCACAACGTCCAAAACATCATACAAGAATTGTTCACAAAATCAAATAAAATGGTGAAAAAAAAAGAGTAAATTGTGAGATACCCAGATGAGTAAAAAAGGACATAGATCTAGTAATTAAATTCTGATAACTAATTGCGAAATTAATAATATATTCATATCTGTAAACAGACCGTTTCTAGGGTTTTCTCCGAAAAAAAAAAAAAAAAAAAAAAACCCTAATGGGTTCTTGAGGAGGTCGATGGCTGTGAATCTAGGGTTTTCTCGTGCTTCATTCAACAGGTGAAGCGACCACATGATCTAGCCTGTCCTATGTACAAAGAAAGCTTAGATCATGCTGGCAGCTTCAACTATTGGAGGTGCACGATAAGATAGCAAGTAGCTAGGTCATTCTTCTTCTCCTTCTTTCTGTTCTTCTTTCATCTTGGAGGCTTCAGAGATAAGAAGAGATGAGAGGATATAAATAGAGCCAGGGGTCCTTAATTCCTACTTCTTCCAGGCAATTACTTTATTTGCATCTTCCACTCTCTCTCCTTGTCTCATGTGAATAGGATATAGAGGTCTATTCAATTTTTGCTTCTTCCAACCAAAGTTTTGCACCTTCCACTCCATCTTTTTTTGTCTCATGTGGATGGATGTTTTATAACTTAAATCTCGAAATAAATACTTTTTGATTTGACAAAAAAAAAGAAAAAAAAAGACATGTATGTATATTAATGTTTGAGAAAGAAATGCGTTGGGTTGACGTGATCAGAGTAGAATGTTCGTTGCTTTCATAATTTAAATTTGAACTCTTGATCTCGTAAATTTGAGTAGATTAGCCTATCGAAATTTGTCAAAAAGTTAGGAAAATTATATGCTCCGTTATGATCTGTCTTGTACTAAAGAAATTCAAATTTCATTCCACCATACATGTTAGGATACATTCAAAATCCTCCTATACATAGCAATAAAACATAAACAGAAATAAAATAGTTTTACGATAAAGAAAAAACGCAAGTATTATTCATAGCTTCATTTGGCTTGTAGATTATCATATTTGTTGAGATTATCATATTTTTTGTGAACATTTAACTCAATTGATTATACGTAAGTGACCCTCTACCACAGTGGTAGAGAGGAATGCAGCCCTTTCACCATGACGTGGGTTCGAACTTCGCCGGCTTCTTAATCTAACATTTAATCTAACAAATCTATCGTTTGACAAAAAACATAAAACTCAATTGATTATACAAAATGCATCTTAATAGCCATTTAGTATTACGGTCTAGTGGTATTTCTCTTCACTTGTAAGTGAGAGGTCTTTGGTTTGATTATCGTTAAAGACGAATTTAAACCACATTATTATGGCTAACTCAGTGTGAGGCCTAACCCACTTCTCCACATCCTTAGTATAGATAATATCGTTTGTTAAACGTATCTTAATTAAAGAGTGATTAATTAGAGGGTTGAAAGTGAGAAAATTAGGCACTAGGGTTAGATTAGCTAGTAGATGAAAAGTAAAACAAGGGAAAAGATGAAGGATGCATGTGGCCCCAAAAGGAAATTTGAACTTTAATATTGTCACACCCCCACGCCACCACATGCAGACCGGCCCTTTTGTGTGAGAGTTTCTATATTTCTATGAAGTTCTTTTGTTAACTTTAGTTGGAGAACTTTTCACATTGTCTCTCTGGGCATCTCTCTCTCTCTCTCTCTCTCTCTCTCTCTCTCTCTCTCTCTCTCTCTCTCTCTCTCTGCCTGCCTGTTCTGTATGGTAAGCATCAAGCATGAACCCAAAAAAAGTATAAAACCACATAGCAAATGGGGGACCATTATTTTTGCATGGCTCATCAGGGCTGCATAAGGTCACGCAAAAAGGAAATTAAGCAGCTGGCACCAGAAACCTGACCCCTCTCTCTCTCTCTCTAATTAGCAGGTAGGTTGTATTCTGAACTGTTTTTTCCTTTTGTCCCTTTTATATAGCTATGAAGACCTAGCTAGTGATGTGCTACTAGTCTACATATAGTGTCATGGCCTGCGTGTTGATTGCTTTGTTTACCTTTCGTTCGGTGTGATGTTAACAACCTTGTTAATTATAGTTTTAATGACAGTCCAGTGGAACACGATACTAATATATAGTTGTAGCGTTTTATACAAGAGGAACACCGATGCAAATTAATATTGAAACCATTTGGTATGTGAAGAATTAAACTTCTTTAGATTTCCGATGCGAGACATGCTTCAACAATTTGGACTTTGCGTTGGTTGTAGGGTTTTTGTTTCCTTCTCTCATTAGTTATTTTTTATGGTCAAGATCGATCTATCATAAATTTGATTAGCAAGAAATTTAGTAAGAACGCATAGTTACCAATTTCGTTGTGCACCACCATGTAATTAAAACCAATCTGCAACTCTCCAAAAACATATATATTTATAATTTTCTGCAGGTTGTTCATCAATAGTATTGTAGAGACTGAATAAGGATTAAAATTTGGTGGTCCATCTCTGTTGCATGCATGCATGCTCGCTCTTGGTACCACTAGTCTCCGGCACGCCGCTGTGACCCCACACCGCCGTGGTTATCTTGGTTAGCTCTTTGTTTTTATTTTCTTTACATTGAGTTAATTGGTGAATACAATTTCAGGGAGTAAAATACTTATCTCATATACTGCTCTCTTTCTCCTCCATTAAGTTGAGCATATGCAGCTCTCTTTTGAATATGGTTGGTTATTACAATAACAACAAAGTTTTCTCTCACTAACTAAGGTGGGATATCATAGGAATTTGTCATGAATATTGAGTGCCAGCCATCAATTTTTTGACGCCCTCTTCTTACTCTTTTATCCGGAATTGAGACCAACATCGTAAGATAAACTTTCACATATGAAGGGGTGGTTTGGGAATGAGGTGCTTAAAAAAAAAGCACCCATGAAAAAAAGCTGTGAGAGTTTTAGATGTTTGTTAAACTGAAAAAAAATGGCTTATTTTGGAAGCTGCTGTGAGAATAAGCTGAAATCAAAGGAAAAAACTGAAGCTGCTATTTGTAGCTTGGAAAACTGGCTTTTTTTTCAAAGCACACGGAGTTACAGTGCTCCTTTAATGAAAAGACCCACTATCAGACTGTTTTTTTTTTTCAGAAGCACTTTTACAAAAAAGTTTACCAAACACTCTACTAATTTATTTCACAGCTGCTTATTCTCACAGCAACTTTTTTTCAAAGCACAGCAATACCAAACCAGCCCGAAGTTATGGTTGGTTATTAACTTTTTTTTTTTTTTTTTTCCACATGCCTCTATTTTAACGACAGTTTGGATGGAACGTGAATAAAATAGACTCTGTAGAAAAATTGGCTAAAAAGCTTGTTTGCGTTCTTAATTTTCTAAAGAGTAATTAACTTCATGAGGGAAATCGGAATTCAATTACAAGTCAAAAGGTACTTCCACAGTTTACTTGTACTATGTAGTTATCGGGTCCGATTACAATGTTACGTTTCACTTTTGGTGCGAGTTTTACGCAAATTTAACCGTTGAAAATACAATAAACTTCTATTTTCAATTTATAACTATTGATTTTTCAAATCACTCAGTGGTATGTATAATTGAAAAAAAAATTGTCATACATGTTATTTTCATAGAATTGTGTTGCGCGGTTGATCTACCAAATTTAAAACTTAGATGGTAGCTGTTAAATGGCTCCAAGAATCAATTTCTTATAACAATACTCGAAAAAGTTATTCATGCTTTCCACTTAGCTTTGGCTTTTAACTAAAGTGCCTTGTACGAATAGAATTTGAATGTATATATAGTTGGTCAAAATTCAAATAACTATACTCAATTTCACATAAATAGTTTGCAGGAAAAATAATATCTAATGTGCACATGAGTAAGTAACTATAAATGTATGAGTCTCGTATTGAAACCAACATCATTAGTCCATATATAGATGAATATCAAATGTATGAGTCTGGTAATAACCTTTTACAAGAAGCTTTTCAACGTGGTTGTCAAGTTACTAAGTGTTATTACCAATTCATTCATGTAAGATGATGCACCGATCTATTTATAATGACAAATTAATCAATCATGTCACTTATATTTGAATACTTAAATTAGTAATGACACCACGTAACAATGTGATCATCGCATCACTTCTCTTTTGTGTATATATGATTCTAGAACCATGGAAACCAAAGCGAAAAATAAATCTATAGAAAGAGAAAGAAGTGTGAAATTGGACGTGCAAAGTACAAGAAAGAAGTGTAAAACTCCAGTGTTTAGATACCAAGGGTGAAAACTTGGAACTCATGAGTGATATATTTTGGTAAATTCAATTTTACTTGATCAGGGAATTGAGGTAAATTCGTATAGTCTCTAAACATAAGGACAAAAGGCTTCTAAAAGTTGGAATATAAATTCTCAAAGTATCTCAATATATAGGAATCCGACGAATATCTAAAAAAATTCCTCAAATGCGAGGACTATATACAGAAACTCAAAGAGTGTGTCCATTGTTGATGTTTAATGGGAAGCAACCCACTCACGTGGGAATGCCTTCTTTTTTTTGGTTTTTTTATTGGGTGTGCTATCCACATACCTCATTTTACTTCTTACACACCTTTGATAATTTTTGTCCGTTGATCTTCTTCAATTCATCCGATCCGACAGTCGAAAATTAAAAAGGTGTGTGAGAAGTAAAATGGGGTGTGTGGATATCACATCCCTTTTTTTTTTCCTCTTTTTGGGAATGTTGCACATCATCTTCTATTTTTTTTGTTTTTTCTTTGGTTTTTCTCTTCCAACGGTAAAGACAGCTTTTTAGGTTTTTATCAACGGCAACAATACTCAAACGAAATGAACAATGATTTTTTTTAATATTTTAGTTCGTACATTTAAGAATTATACTATAAGAACTTCTCATTGTAGACAATATTCTTTTAAGGATTCGAATATTCCCTTAAACCCTCATGGAAGATGCTTGCAAAAGATATATTTTGGCAATCTACACGTGTCAAAGTTGGTTTTTATTTTATTTTATGCCTAGGACTTACTGGAAACTACAATTCCCCTGTCCCTGAAGGTGTCGGCATGTCAATCATCAAATTAACTTTCAAAAGCACGATCATATTCTTCGACACTGCAGATGTTTATGGTCCCTACACGAACCAAGTAATGCTGGCAAAGGTAAAATAAAATAAATTTGTGGACTTACCATTTGCTATGATATCAAATAACTATCAAGTACATCTCTAAATGCGAGAAATTTTTTTTGTAGAGGTTATCCAATATCTCTCGCACAAAAGCGCGTGACACCCTATAGTTTGGTACTACCCGAACTTATACGGCCGTTTTCTCCTAGTCAGATAGCGTAATGATGACTTTATCCTAAAATGCAAGTGCCTACGATAAAGAGAAAAAATTTGCGTGTAATCGGAATCCTACAGTGCTCGTACCTTGTCGGT